ATACTATACTATACTATACTATACTATACTATACTATACTATACTATATAATAAACTGAATATGGTTCTTTCTTTGGTGACTAGTTAGTTTTCCATTGCTGTAATAAATATCCAAAACAACCTGAGGAAGAAGGGGTTTATTTTTCATAAATAAAACTGTGAACAGCTCACAGTTCATTACTGAAAAAGTCTGGATAGAGAGTCAAGGCAGGGACCTGGAGGCAGGCGCTGATGCAGATGCCATGGAGGATGCTACTTACTGGCTTGCCCCACTCTCCGCCATCTCTAGCCTCCTTAGCCTGCTTCCTTATAAAACCCAGGAGTGGCACCACCAACAGTGAGCTGGGCTCTCCCACATCAATTATTAATCAAGAAAACGCACCAAAGACTTTCCTGTAGAGCAGTCTTGGGGAGGCATTTTCTCAATTGTGGTTCCCTACTTCTAGATGATTCTAGCTGTGTCCAGCTGACAAAAACCAATGAACACATCTAGATAAAGAGTTGCTTCTTTCTTTGCAGCTGCCTTCATCTCCTAACAGTTCTTCATAGCATCTTCACCATTTGAACTGAATTGGAGGAAACAGTAGGTCATCCTTGTATAAGATTATTGTACTCAACAATTATTGAGTTCCTGTGAGCTGCTAGGTATGGGAATTTAATCCTTCTACTCCATTTGTGAGAAAAAGGAATTAGAATCAAGAAGAGAGATTTCTCCATTGGTTTAATAAATTTCTTTTCAAAGTATTTTTTATTTTAAAGGTTACCTGGTGTGGATGCCTGTGCATCCCCGACTCCTTTCCTTTGATCAGGGACAGAATCTTTCCCTTTTCTGTTAGGCTGGATGAGATTTGAAACAAGATGGTTAATACATATTGCATGTAATATGACACACATCCTTAATAATTCAAGATAAAAGGTAAGTGTTATTACCAGCCAATGAAGATATTTCTCCGGATTTTCTAAAATGCAAAGAGAGACACAAGATCAACTATTATTAAATACAACAAGGCCAGATATACATCTGTGCACTACTATGGCAGAACTAGATCTCTGTGTACTCCTTTGAGAAAGGCTATTATGGGTTCCCATCTTTTGCAGATTTGCAGGTAACATGATATGTATTGTAAAGAAAAAGACATAGGAATGTAGGTTCAATAAAACATGCGCATGACCTTTCACAAGTGGGATTTTGTTTCCAGTAACCACAGCCACTAGGGAGAATGCAAACCAGTGTGGCTCTGCACTGATACAGAGTAGTGAGCTCTCATCAGAGCAAATCATGACCTTCAGACGAGAAATGCCACAGATGATGGTGGGATATTATGGTATGTATCTCTAGTGCATCGCAAATGGATCATGTATTCTATTTCTCCTGCAATTTGGAGGACCAGAAGCTTTCTATTGCTTTGGGCTAAGATAGAATTCATTTTAGGCTTCCAAATTATTTCCTTTTTTCATGACCATGTTTGCCACTGAGCCTGGCCTGAAGTTCCTTGATCCACCCTGTGCAAGAGTGTTTAAGCCACAAGTAGGAGATAATGTTTTCAACACTGAAATAAATAAAGTTTTCAGATGGAAAAATACACTCATTTCCCCCACGCATATCTTAATAAGTTTCTATACTTTAAAATCAGTGCCATATTTAATAAAAGCAACAAAAGTGTCAAAAGAATGTGAGTAACTTCATAATGTCTTTTTTTAACTTGAAATTATTATGGTTTAATATGCCATAAGACAATTTAAAGGATTTTTTTATTAATCAAACTTGTCTTTTGATGATTTTGTACATGTACACAATGAGTTCTGACTACACACAATCTACCTCCTCTCATCCACAGGAAATACCCCCATGACTGGACAATGCTGTTAATAAAGGACTTTTTATGAAGCAAGTATCTTAATGAACATAAGCTGCCTTTTAAAACACCAGTCCAATGCTTGAATATTTCAATTAAATTTTGTAAATGATTAACATCAGTGAATCTCTGGCTTTGAAGACTGATATATGAGATAGGAAAAATGAGTGCCTGAGACTTGTCCCCATCAGTAGCAGTCCTTTCTGATGCCAACATTCTCTGGAGCTCTTATCACACCGAATCCATCTCATGTTAGTAATCTCAACTCGCTCATCACCCCCTACCCCTGGGAAAGCACCCAGACAATACGGTTCCTTTGTGCCCTGCTCCCCTGAAAACTTCTCCATGTCAAACAGTTCTCTACAGCTGTGGGTTTGTTCCTAATACATTATAAAGGCATCACTACCACCACTTCTTGTCTACTGAGCAGTAGACCTTAGACTTATCATATTGTCATATTGATCTGCTACCTTATGAAGACTATGTAATATGCATACACACACACACACACACATGGTACATCATAGCTTATGCTACATGTATTTGCCTCTTTCCCTCACTTAGCCCCTGTACTCTAGGCTTTTTTATTCTTCATTTCCACTTTTCATATTCTCAATTCCTCCCATTCCTCTCGTCTTAGAATCTCGAACAGGAAATGATTATTCTTAGAGGGTCCCCCCGCTCAACGGAACCCATGGCTAAAACCAGAGGAGATATATGACTTAGTATCATCTCATTTCTCCATTTCCTTTCTGCGCATTCAATAGGAAACAGCCCTTAATTGCTAGTAGACACCCGTGGTCATGTTTGAATAAACATTCTGCCAGGTCAAATGGCAGTTTTAGCCACACACCTCTTACCTACTGCTTGGCCATTTACTTGTAACATTCCATCAACACCAACGCGAATAAGTGGAAGAGTCTCAGAGACACTCTGCAAAATTTAACACCAAGAGTGAGTTGCACTGAGCACTTTCTGAACATATAAATGCTGTTTCAAAAGGTATTTGACATAAAAACGAACCAAACATATCCCCCAAAGCCAAGATTTTTAATGGGCAATATTAATGCTCTTTAGACCGGCTGCTCTTTTATCTTCAGTGGCTCCTGACCACCATCACTGTGTTTACATGGGAAATACTTACGGATGTGCAGTCTGCTCCAGGGTTAACTTCAGTGGCTGCAACTCTACCTCTATCTCTCACCTCAAAGCAGAGGACATAGTCTTTTTTTCCCCCACAAGATAGGGTTTCTTTGTGTAGTCCTGGCTGTCCTGGCACCAGCTCTATAGACCAGGCTGGCCTTCAACTCAGAGATCTGCATGCCTCTGCCGAGTGCTAGCCTTAACCGCCTGGTCAGAGGACTTTTTTTTTTTTTTAATTTGGTTTTTCAAGACAGGGTTTCTCTGTGTAGCTTTGGAGTCTGTCCTGGAACTAGCTCTTGTAGACCAGGCTGGCCTCGAACTCATGGAGATCCGCCTGCCTCTGCCTCCCAAGTGCTGAGATTAAAGGCATGCACCACCACTGCCCGGCTCAGAGGGCATGTTCTTAAAAATACACTTGCTACAGTACAACTATATACTGAAATACTATAATCTTTCCACGCAATTTATCCCCCATGTTAAGTCTTCTGACATGATGCTTTGCAGTGGATCACAGGCACAAAAGGGACACTGAAAAGTTCCTTCATCTAAGTGAATAAGAACTTTCAAAGTATTTGTATAGGAAAAATATTTGAAAAACATACCAAGTTAGTACAAAATAACTTGCTATATTAAAATACATACTTAAAAATGTTATATATTAGTCATCTTTGTCCCAACTGAAACATGACCATTAAAATAGTATCAAGACATAGTTAAAAGGAAGTCTAAGAATACTTATGCATTTTCTCTTCTACACAATTCAAGGCAAAAAATGAGCTGGGCGGTGGTGGTGTGTGCTTTTAATCCCAGCACTCGGGAGGCAGAGGTAGGTGGATCTCTGATGCATGATTAATAAAGATTAAGAGAGAGGAACTGGGGTTCAACCTGAAGGTCAGAAAAGCAAAGCAGCCAGCCACTGGTTCTTACCTCTACCTCAGTCTGAAATGGCGATCCTGCCTCCCAGAATCTCAGAATGAGACTGTGTGAGAGTTGTCTCCTCATGTTTTATATTCCTCTCTAGTGCTGGGAATTAGGGTGTGCACCACTGGGATTAAAGGCATGCACTGCCCTGTTTCTATGGCAACTAGTGTGACTACTGGGATTAAAGATGTGTTTTACCACTGCCTGGTCTGTAAGGCTGACTAGTGGGGCTGTTTCACTCTCTGATCTTCAGGCAAGCTTTATTTACTAAAATACAAATGAAATGCCACTACAGATCTCTATGAATTTGAGGCTAGTCTGGTCTACAGAGTGAGCTCCAGGACAGCTAGAGATACATCTAGAAACCCTGTCTCAAAAAACAAAACAAAAAAAATTGATTATGATAATGCTACTGCAACTCCAAAAGTATTCCAAGTTATTCAAGGCATAATGATGAACAGACAGGATACACTCTTCTGTCCAGAACATTCTCCTCAAATGCAGAGTTTCCCAAGACTGACTCCTCTTTACTCAGAAAGATCTGTGACTGCAGAATGCTTTTATTCCCACGGCATCCTACGTACAAAGCCCTTCCATATTCTCTAACCCAAATCATCTATTTTCGACATAAAAGCCATTTGGATGACTTTTACTTCTGTATTTCCTTGTTGTTTTTTGCTAGTGATGGGGCCGGTTACTCACAGACGCTAAGGGGAAGTCTCCCAGTGACTCACACCACAGCCCGTTACTTGCAGACGTTTGCTGCTCCCTTGATCTTCTCCTCAGTTACTATAGCATTGTCGTCCTAGAGCAATTTTGCTATCAACCTGCCAAGCACACCACACAGTTGTCACACAATGGCAGAAAATCCTTCAATTTCAAAATATTTAAGTCCTTAGAAGAAAGGACTCAAACACCACTTTACTCTATTCCAGTTGCATATCTTCTTTAACAGTCTATTCAAACTTATAATGTTCCAAATTTGAGGTTTTGGTGTGCCTTTCAACTTTCCAGGTTTGGTCTCGACATGACTCATTTTATTCAGTTAGACAAAGTCATCACTATTTCTTTTCTTTCTTTCTTTCTTTCTTTCTTTCTTTCTTTCTTTCTTTCTTTCTTTCTT